AACCAAGACTTGAAGCCTGATTGTAACTTGCACTGGGAATACAGGGAAAAAAGAGAAATACTTATCCCAAATATTTTATTTTGTACTACCCTTGTTTTCCATTTATATGAAGCAAATTCTAGTTAGAATTACCCATAGGCTGCCAGATTCAGCAACAGCAAATTTTGGTTTCAGAAAACCAGAAAAGGGAGAGAGGAAAATCAGTGTGTGGGAGGGGAAAGAGGGAACCCTTGAGCCATATGAACTAGGCCATCATATCTCCCTCTGCTGTGCAGTAGGATGAAATAAACTGTTTCAGATGGTACTATGTGGTAGGAGAAGGCAGAAAACAGGGTCTCTGATAGTATAATTTTGGACTGGCACAGTGAGCCTGTCTGATGAGATGAAGAGGACAGAGTTCCTGACCTTCAAGAACTGCTAATTCTAGAGAAGCAGCTGTGTTAATCTGTTTGCGGGATAGTCTGGCAAACCCTTTCCATTTACTCTTCAAGTCACCTGTAGACTTACGGCAACCCCATGAATTTCATAGGGTTTTCATAAGCTACTGCCACACTGCAGAATTAGTGCAGTTTGACAGTAGTTTTTCATGGCTCCATCCTATAGAATTCTGGGATTTGTAGTTTGCTCTGGCACCAGAGCTCTCTGACAGAGAAGGCTATCTCACAAAACTACACATCCCAGAATTCCATAACATTCAGCCATGGCAGTTAAAGCAGTGTCAAACTGCATTAATTCTGCAGTGTAAATGCAGCTATAGGCAAGGAATACTCAGAGGTGGTTTTGCCTGTTCCTTCCTCTCAAATATAGCCTACAGCATCTGGTATTAATTGGTGGCCTCCCTTCCAAATGCTAACCAGAGCAGACCCTGCTTAGTTTCCAAGATCAGACAAGATCTATAGTGGCATTTATTTCTTAATTTGCAGTGACACATAAAATAGTGTACTCACATTTTATGGAAACCTATCCTCTCTTTTTCATGACCAGTTTCCTTGGGGAGGGGATCTGTAAGTGGTCATCTTAGGTACCTGCCAAAATATTGGTAAAGGCACAGCAATGCGGACATGTTGTACTTCTGGTCAACATAACTCAGAAATTCTACCAGCCCAAAAACACACACTGACCCAATCATTTTGATATTCATTCATTTTTATTTGCCAGAGCACAGTAACTTTAAAAACAATAAAACAACAACAACTGCACAATAAAATCTGAGCATGTAAGCTTTTAAGTAACCATTCTGTTTACATGTGCAAGGACTGCTACTGTCTTTGCTCACATGCCAGAGGTGTTGCTACAAGGCATGCTGCCAAAAGCCAAGAGCTGTTATATTTCACCAGTCAAGTTATTAGAATATAATTAAAGTTCTGGGAAAACACTGTAGAAATATTAAAATATGGATGTATATTTTATGGGAGTATTAACAGAGTCACTTATACACTGAAAGAGAACAGGTGATTTGGGGCATAAAAATTGGATCCATCTTGATTCACTTAAAAATAAATTAAGCACAGCAATGGAAAACAGACTACAGGCAACAGTCTTGCATGTTGTATATAGGGGACAGAACCAGAGTTTAGACTATGGTACCATGTATATTAGACTATAATTTCTCCTATAAATTTTGATGAAGTCAATGAGAGATGAAGATTTTACATTGGATACTTTCAAGGTGAAAAAAAATTAACTACCACTTTCTTTTGCCACTGAACAATTATTCACAACAATACAACTCCTAAGAATGTATACAGAATGCATGTCACTCTTACTAATAGAACCACAGTCCAAAGTAAATACACTACTATATTTGTTCTTCACTTACGTATCTGTCATATTTTCAGTCCACGCCATCCTTTAAATGAAGGGTGACCGGGATAGAAACTTTAAAAATGACCAGGATCCAAAGTGTTACTTTATTCATATGATAGAAATCAAAGATATAG